TTTTTTTTGAAGCCGCTTTTCTCGAAACGTGATATAATATATATATTATACACTATATTTCCCTCAAGTCTATCAAATTCCCAAAAATATAGATTACGAATACATTTCATGCAACTAATTAAGCAAATATTGATTGGTTCAAATTACCTATCTGCATATCGGCAATCATGAACTGTCATATTGCATCTGTCACGCGTATTTGATAATGTATATTTGCATGTTTGCAGATAGGCCCGAAGCAAAATTATGGTTCTATTGGAGAATTTACACTGATTTTGCATGGCACCGAGCAAATTCCAGCCTACCGCAGAAACGGACCGAGAATTTATAACGAGGATTACATGCATAAAACTGTAAGTAGTGTCATAACATTAGGAATTTTATTACACGTTAAATTCGTTTCATTAGCATATTCGTTTCTGTTTTAGTACGATGCGGTAAAGCCGATCGCAAAAAATTCCGTGCAGTATAAATACGACCAAGACGTAGAATCACCAGAAATTAATGACATTTTGTTTGGACAATGGTTGGATTAACTATTAAGTTTATGATAGCCAGCTTTTTAGTTGCCATTAAATACTAAATTAACGACTAATATTTGATTAAGCAAAATTAAAAATACTTGAACAATATTACTATGAATAGTTAGCAACGATATTCACAGATAAACTTATATTCATATCAACATTTATGTAAGCTCATGCAATCACATTTTTAGAATAAAATAATTCTATTTAATATAAATTCTTTCTTCGTTATATCTATCTTTCATTCTAACGATACAATGTAGTAACAACAATTGCAATTTATTTATGAGAATTTGCAATGTATTCACGACTGCATTTTGTTTATGAGAATTTGCATATATTAACAGGTGGTTAATTGCATTTTGATATCAATATTAATGGTAGCATAATGAAATGATCAGTTTTACCAGTGAATGTACATGAAACAAATGTGTATATGTGTGTCATTCGAGATACATATATATCTTTAATTCGTTACACAAAATAAAGCTTACTCTCGTATCCCTTTGTTGCGGCTAATTGGCTCATTTAACAATTAATGTTACTGGTAATTAACATTTCCGAAATTCAAGACTCTATGAAACGAGAAAGCAGCTTTCATACAGGATATGCTGTAAAGCGTGAATTACAACGACCGTAACTGAAATAGAAATCAACGTTGACTTTTTTACAATTATGTGCAGAGAACATTAGATAACTATCATTAAACAATGATATAATTACGCATATATATTTGTGCTAATCAAGATGTCACTTTTAAAGTGTTATATATATTTTAGCATATTTTTGATATATAAAAACCACATATATTTTTGTTCATCTTATTTCTTATCAAAAAACAAACAGATGGTCAAAATTTCTTGAATTTCTATAATATAATTAAAGATTTTATTTCTTTCTGTGTTAAAAGCATATACATAATAGAAGAATATTTTCTTTAGAAATTCTCAATTTGAATTTTCCGAGAAACTCATTTCCCGAAAATGTTCGCTTTAGATATACAATCTTTTATGCACCATCTTAAGAATCTACATATACTTGGTCTTGCAATTGTGAAATGTCGTATAGATCCAAGGATATATACAGATGTTTCTTTTTACACACACCAACGATTACCATAAGAAACCAGCAGAAAAAGAAGATGGATAAATTGGGTTTACAATTTGAATCATTTTTACAATACGTAACATCTAAATTTTGCGAATTCAATGGGATGAAACACGTATATGTAAAATTATATTAAATATGTTTTTACAAAATTTAAATTTTATATAAGCAATGAAAAATCTCAAATTTTTATTTTATGATGAACTGAAAATTGTAAATATTATTATTACATTATACTATTATAATATATAATGTAATAACAAATTTAAAATATGTTTAAAATATTCTAATTATATTTCATATATATATACAGAATAAACATAACATAAAAACAAAATAATACAAATATATACGAAGGTGGACCAAAAAGCAACTTGTTTTTTTGTTTTGTTTTGTTAGTAACTTGAATTTAAGACCATTGTTTGTTATTTTGAACCAAGTTACTTTTCGATCCATTCTCGTACATATTTATAACATAAAACAAAATAATGAAAAATCGTTCTATCTATATATTTTTGTAGATTAAATTATTTTTATAATATCCAACATATGTATCTTTGTAATTTGAAATGCAATAAACTGCTTATAATTCACCTCAAAAGCAGTCTTATCATATTCAATGATATCGGATATATCACGATATGACCAACACTAATAATATCGAATAATAAATGTTGAATAATAAACGAATAGTAAATTTGTAATAATGTAATTATATCTCAAATTAATGGGCGCAAACAAAAGTTATCGTTACCTACACACATTGTAAGCATAAAATACATTTAATGTTAAAAAAACCCCTTGACCCTTTTTCATTTCGTTACCGAGCTTTCAACGTATTTTGTAAAATCGCTGTGCAGTTATTGGAAAATGTTCTATTCTAGCGACGATTTAATAGTGGTAGTCATACGCGTCGTAAATCGTGCAGATATAAAAGATCAATACACCGAAAAAAATACGAATGGACACATGTTTTACTTTCTCCAGATATATATTATAACAGAACATTTCTTTATTATTTCCATAATCTAATTTAAAAAAAATACCGCATAAAAATAGCAGTAATCAACACTTTATTATAAGTATATGCATATATAAAGTCAATACATATTTAAATAATAAAAATTTTTAAAATAATAATTAGAAAAAAGTGAGAAAAGATATTTTAAGACAAATTAAAATATTACAAAATTGCAAAGAAATTACGAATGCAATTATAATATCATCGTTATCTTAATTGCAAGAGCTTTTAAATTTGTGCAGCTAATTACTTTAAATTGCACTTATGTATAATAATTAATATTAGGATCGAACGGATAACAAAAAAAGAAAATGTTGCAATCTCAAGACGATTTCAAACAGTTTCCAAATCAGCAAGTCCGAATACATGCCAACTAGAGTGCTTGTAATAGTAATCCAACCCTCCATGTGGCTGCGCTGCCGTCGACCTAATAATGGGGTTGTCTCGCGGGCGAAACGGGGGATGATTCGCTCAGTAGCATGCTGCTTCTCGTAGCATGAATCTCGGTCGAGCTTTTCGTTGCTTTTATCGTGACGCAGCATTCGTTACTCACACCTGATTTTTCAATTCCATTATATCAGTGAGAAATCAAAGAACTAGAACAGTGATTCTCCGACACCAGAATAGTTTTGAGAAAGAAACAATACGTGAGTTAACATTTAACATAGAAAATATTTGTACAAAATTTAAATTAAAAATGCACATTTAAGGAATAGATGACAGAACTAAATGTAACAAATTAGTTGATATATGAGCGTTTGTGCTAAAATGTAAGAATATCATGAGAATATCATGAGAATTTATAGTTTATAGTGAACTCTAAATGAGATAGTGAAGCTCAATAAATCCGAGAATTACGTTACTTATATTTTTATACAAATATATAAATAATTTTATGCCAAATATTATGATAATTGTAGAAAAAGAAATATTCTCGAATATATATTTTACGCATTCTGCAAATGCGAAAAATTGTGACAGGAAAATTTGTTTGCGCCTTTTATAAATATAATCATAATTTAATTAAAGCATAAGGAGATAGAACATGAAGACTATTTAAGACGTCATGTGACACTTGTTAGTCATATCGCGTCCATTTCTCATACATGCTCGTGTGGCATTTATGTTCAAGCCAAACTAATTAACCGTCACAGCAAACAACCTCGCTCAATTTAACAGATTCTGTAACAGACGACATTTCATCTGACTTTACGAAATAATTAAAATCTATTTTGCGACAACTTCGTACTCGTATTCATTGTCGTCACATATCGTAAACAAATTTTGAAAGATTCTGAATATTTGTAATAAATGACAAACTCTAATCTGGAAACAATTTCTTCCATGAGTTATATATAAAGATTCCCAACAAATTATACTTTTTTTTATATAAATTTAAATATTCCCAAAAATATAATCATAAAATAAAATTTTTTATAAAATATAAACCATAAGATTATATTTTTTTATTTTCTATTATTCTCGTAAAATCTCATATTATTCTTAAAAATTTATCTGATTCTTTGTTTGTTTTTTCAATATCGCTCTATTAATACACGTATCTCTTGATCGGTTAAAAATAAGATGCTTTCCAAGAACTAAACGTCAATCAATTTTATTTTAACAATTATGATTTAAGACTATCAGAAATCATTTAATGTGGAAAATTAATTAATTGTAAAATATTACCAAATCTCCGATGAGAGAAGATCTACTTCAAATCAATCAGTAAATACATATGTTTACAAATGTTTGGACACTGATTTAAAAAAGTATTCTGTATATGGTAGTGTTATCTTATTGCATTATTCTAAAGTACAGCATATATAACAGATAATGAGAAAAGAATCACAAAGTTTAAAATTTTACAGTCTCTTAAGAGATTCGTAAAATATTTGCTAGTTTTGGAGAAGCAGCAGCTATTGTTAGAATGCTCTAGCACAAAAACGTATTTATAAAGTCAGAATATCAAATATTTGATAAAAGCGCAAACCATGACTCACGAGAATTAATCCCAGCATGATAATAATGAAATTAAAACTGCGTTCTGTCATAAGAGAGAGATTAAGCGTACACTCTATCATATTAAATAATGTAAAAATAGAAATTATTCCATAAATCGTAAAAATATAAAGAGAAAATAAAACTGCATATATAATATTTGAATCTTATGTGGAGATCATTATCGTGGATTACCAATTTCAATTTTAATTTTTGAGTTTAAATAATTAAAATATAAAAAAGATCAATTGTTAAAATTTTTAATGTTTCCATTTTACTTTCCAATTCGTGTTATTTAAAATAATATTGTATATTTTATATAGTATTATAGCCGGCTTGAGAAGATATTGATTATTTCCAATAACATAATATATCTTTTGCAAAGAAAAATAGATCTTTCTTAATAAAAATATTAAAAGTTGTATATTCCCTTTTATAACTACAGACAGGTTGAAGATTAGCATAATAACAAAAAAGACTATTACAAAGGAGCAAGTCAATAAATTGTGTCCTCATATTATCGAGATATTATATTTAATTTATTTTAAAAATCAAAAAACATAAAATTAAATTAGAAATGATGCAAAACCTTTATAAAAAAAACAACTTATTTCCACAAAAAAAAAAAATAATCTTATTCATTTTTTGCTAGAAAAATGATCCATATTTTCAAATTATCTGTAACTAGTAAAACTGTACTCTGTTCCATTTTAGGACAGGTTTTTCCAGGTCGACTCTGGTTTTATCAGAATATATCAGGATACCTTATTACAGGGGGAATTGAGATAGCGACCAAAATTTACTTGACAACATAGCCGAGTAATATTTTGCGCAAAATTCAGAGTTAGGCGAATACATGTGTATGAAGCTAACAAGCTGAGATAATACGTGGCAATAGCGTTAAAATAATAATTTAAAAAAGGGCTTGCGTGTATAAAAATTCCTGGCTACTCAGGTCGTATGTGTACATGTATATACACGCAATACATAAATGATACGTTGTAAAGCTGAGCGACGCTTGCATTTTCCCCGTCATTTTACATCAATAATCGACGGCGCAAACTCACGAAAACTCAACGGAGACTGCAACTGACATTACGAAACTGACATTACGAAAGAGACATAAACGCGAAGTGATTTGACAACTGCACAACAAGTAATTCTACTATCATTAACAAATCTATGTAAATTTAAATTTTCGTAATGATTGGAGAGAGAATCATTATTCCAAATTATTTTGCTCAATATTATATTGGTCAATAAGTATATAAAGTTTGAAAAAGTTCTTTTAATAGGGATAAAACGCGTACATTTTTATAACGATACACACATGAGGGATAAATGGAAACGTCGCATAGATTGTTTTCAGCGCTTTTTGAATCTATCGAGAGTGATGTTTCGGCATTTTTGGAAAACATTTTGAATATTGGAACATTTCTCTCTTTTTTCTATCTTTTTTGTTTCTCTATTTTACAGTTAACATGTTTGACAGAATATTTAAAATTTTTTAATACTACTCTCTTGTATTTGCTTCATTTTACAGAATCGTTTAAAAACATGAAAAAAATTTTATAGTACAAATTCCATGAAAAATACATTACCTTTTACATTAAATAATTACAATACTCCTTTTAAAATATAGTACGTATATAATATTATTGAATAAAAATATCATATAATTTACCTTAATATATTAATATGTTGCACGATTACAAAGATTATATTGTAATTTTTACTATATTTTCTACATGCAAATCGTTCTAAGTAATGTAACAATGTGCATTATCTACACATTTATTTGGCCTGTGTTTAACAAAGGTAAAATTGAAAGACAACAACAATTAAGGCAATCACAACATTTAGCAAATTGTAGCTTATTTACCGCAAATCGACTACTCAACAATTTTCTCTGCTATTTCTGTGCTTCTAATATGTTTCTAATGTTTAAATATACTTAAGTAACTTTTTCTATATTTATAGATATGTTTTAGTTTTTTAAAAATTAGTACTAATCTTTATCCAGAATCATTAAGGAAGCATGTTATATCATTTATCGCGTAGAGAAATATAGCGTAGTTTCTATTCTCTTAGCACTACTTTCTGACTTTCTTTGGCAAGTCTTAAAGTTAAAAGTTGAGAGATATACATAACAAAATTAAGAATCGTGTACGTTCTAAAAAAATTCTAAATTTAAGTTCAAATTTTATTTCATTTTCTAAATAATCTCGTAAATTGATATTTACCCAACCAAAATTAGCACAACTTTCAGTTAATAAATTAAAATTAAATTTCAATCTGAAGAAGGGGTATAATTCGCTCGTGTAACTCCTTGTATACTTTATAGAAGGTAGTAACCTAGTAGATGCTTCGCTCTGGAAGTTCTAAAGGCTTGATATATGTTTGTGGCGATATTCAGGAGCTTGCTAGATACGAGGAAAGTTCCGTTCGACAGAAAGCTTGAATTATTGAGAACAAATTCCTATTCGGGAAACTATACTGCCACCATAAGACAGACGGCTTAAGCGTCGTAATTACAATTACGGAAGCTTGAAGACGATTATTTACCCAAATAGATCGCCTTTCGCACAAAGTGACGGCAAGTAACAAAGTGACTTGAGAGTTCGTTCACGACTAATAAGGTCACTTTCTGAGTCGGAAAAAAGCCACTTACCTCCTTTCCATTAAAATCTTTTCTACGCGCACGCGAAATTGTTATTTTTACATCTTCCCTGCTATGATCTCACGCGACATTCCCCGATATAATCATAATTCAGCATTTTCTACGATAACTGTAGTATCCCAAGATCATGTCGCACGCAACACATTTTTTTAATCTTTAATCATTTGCGCGTTGACTAAAATTTATTTTTTATAAAGATCTGTATATAAACATATATATATTAAACACTATAAAAGTAATTTTATTAATTCACTAATTTACAATTTTTAAAGACGGATAGATGAGTACTCACTGCGCAAATTTCAAATTATAATTTATTATCTCAGTACAATTTAAAAATTAAGTTATATCGAACATTTATGTCGGTATAAAGTGTATGCACAAGCAATTACATATTAATATCATTACTTTATCTGCAATAAACGAAAATCCCTTAGGCTTGTGATACGGGAAATACAAAGTAATAGCTATGAGCGTACCAGCTGATTATATCGCGCGTATTTTTAGCGTGAGTGCAATCGCTGTACTATATCGTAACACCAGTTTAATGAAGTTCTGAACACTTTTTCGTCTCAACTGTATGCGTATTCTATTTTTCTTTAGCTAGCCGAGTACGTTCCCCTTTGACCAGACTTGCGGGAAAAAGTAAATACGCGAACTACACTCTCAGAGATACGAACATTCGAAGCACGATTTTTCATCAATCAGCCGCCAGTCGAGTGATGGAGTAAACGTGTGGTTAGACGATCGATATAATTTCATAAGAGTAAAACGGATAGTCTTTTTCGAGATATATTTTTTCCATTGCGTATAAAATTTATGTTATTACAATTAATACAATATCGCGTCCACAAATATTAAACAGTATGTTTTTGCGATGATTTTTAGCTCTATTTTTAAATTAGAACTGCAAAAGCTTTGATTCAACATTTGAAATTTTACCGTTCTCGCTATATAAATGAAATC